ATAGCTCTCGTGTAGCTGTGCACGAAATTCAAAATCAAACAAACAAACAGTATTTGCTCTGGTAACTAGTGGTTCATTAGATTAATGATAAGCAAAAGATAATTTCATTTTGTTTTATATAACTAAAGACATGATATTATGGGTAGTATGAATCTGAGAACTTTCAGTAAAATTGTAATCAATATTGAAAAAAAAAGGAATAGTAAAACACAAACAATCGCTGTGAAAGATAAAATAAATAACTGTATTTCATATACAAGTCTAGTCCATCATCTCCCCCAGTAGCTGATAACATCAGTATTTGGGATTCAGTCCCCATGGTGGTTACAAGGCAAGGTAGCCCATTGCCTAGTTTTGTGGCAAGCAAACAAAACAAGGACCAGCTCATCATTAGGATAGAAGTAGGAGTAATGGATTTAATGTCCAATTATTATGAGAGTGTTTTGAGTTATTTAAAAAGTTTGAAACTTCAGCAGAATTAAGTGTCTTTATTATATTTCACTTTATTGTATAGCAGGAATCAGCATATTGTTGTCTTGAGGGAGCTGATGGTAGGAACTGGGAAAATTGTTTATTTTAAAGTAGATTCATGTAGCATCAAAGAAACTGTTAAATGGCCAATATCAACACAGTTTTTGTTTTGGATAAAATAAATTTTTTCAATATAATTTGTTTATTAAGTCGAATAGGCTTTTATAATATTTAAGTATATGAATATTAAGATACTTTTCACTGAATTAAAATAATTTCTTTGGCAGTGTTTTGACTTATAACTTTGTCGAGTCTTAATGCTGTTGGTGAGGAGTGAAATAAGATAATTGGTAAAGAATCTTGTGGTTTATAGTTAAATTTCATTTATGTTTTATGCAAATATTTGTTGAAAAAATATTATTTTAATGTTGTGTTTGATCTATTTTCAGAATTATCCATTAGAAACAAATGTTATATAGGAGATATATGTTGGAATAAGAAAAGTGTCTTTTTTTGTAAATATGGTGAAACCAAATCAATATACAAAGACTTCCCATGATGGAAACAACTTAGAAGAAGGCAAGTATGATGTAAACTTTATGGCTTAGAATATAAATAGAAAAGGCAAAACAACAGGAGGCTTTTTTATCTACCAAAGTCACCCATAACCTTTCCATGGGGCACAAGTCCATAACTCTTTAAAAGTTTGGAATACTGGTTTATTTTTACTATTAGTATGTAAAATAAATGAATATCAAAATAGGGGAAGTTTGTGAGAATTATGTCTCCTCAGTTTTATTGATGAAGATTGCACAATTTATAATTGTATTTTTCATTTGTAATATTATGCCTTAGTTTTTCTGTATTTTTCTAGAAACTAAGTAACAAGTTGCACAAAAAACTGAAGTTAGTTCTGGGAAGAGATGCAGGTTAAATGAGAATGTTATAGAATGAAGAAAGGAAATATGAAAGCATTAAGTTAAGCATGCTTTTGTAATGGAAGTGAAGGAAGGTAATGGGTTTACCTGGTGCACATTGGAAGAAGGTCTAGATTTTGAGAAACAAGTTAAGTCAGATACTAGTCACTGTTTTAAACCTTTTGCTGTTCTTAAGTTTGGAGAATGTAAAATTACTGTGGATTTTTAAGTAGAGAACTAACCAAATGTACTGAAAAGTGCACATGTGGTGGACTGCACAGGAAACTTATGAAGTTCTTTACAATGTACTCAGATTTGTGTTTTAAGTTTAGCAATGTAGTATGTAGATATCTTACACTAGTATACATTTATTACTTAACTTACATAATTCTTAAATTTCTCTAGGTTTTGACTTTCGAATAAATCTGGTAGAGGTAACGTGATAGATTTAACCTGTGGTGTTACTTTGTGTAGCTTGACTGGTCTAGGAACTTATCTGTTGTTTCATGGGGTACTTGATTTTGTGTATGGGGAATATGTTGTGGCTGTCCACCTGGAACAGAAATATTTCTGCATCCTGGTGCCCTTTTCCAGTTGATTGGGTGCAAGCAAAATGCACTTTGTGATATGAAGCTTAGACACTATATTTCTGCATCCTGGTGCACCGGGATGCAGAAATATAGTGTCAAAGCTTCATATCACAAAGTGCATTTTGCTTGCACCCAATCAACTGGAAAAGGGCCCTTTTCCAATTGATCGTGTGCAAGCAGAATGCACTTTGTGATATGCAGCTTTGACACTGTCAGGAAGAATTTGGATTGGGCTTTCGAGAAGAGATGTTTGTCTTTTTTTTTACTTAAGAGTCACTGTGGAAGTCCTATTATAGTCTTGTATTTATTTTATGATCAAGTCTGATGAAGTTTATTCCTGTTCATTTATTTAGTCCTACATTTGTCACTATTTTTGGTTGCTTTTGTGCTTTATTAAGTAAAGTGTTTTATTTCGATTCTTGAACTTCAACACCATGTCCTGTCCCTTTTATCTTACCAGTCATAAATAGCTGCTTTTTACTCCCGAAAATATGATTCATGAGTTTGTTGTTATTGTGAATATCAGGTGACTGTGTGAAAGTATAACTTTGGATTATAGCAGAAATCATTGTGCTGTGCTTTCAAGTGTGTATAGTAGGTGCAAACAGAAAAATTAAGCATAATGCAAATATTAAATGAGGATATCAACCAAAATGTTATGTGGTTTAACAGTATTGGAGAGAATTCTGCACATGATGGTATGATGTTGCTAGGTTAAAAGATGATGTGCTAAGTGAAGTTGTTAGGGGCTGTTTAAGAAGAAGTGAACTTTTTGAGTCATTTCACAAATGTTGAAGATGTGAGGTTAGTGAGTGAGTTAGTTTTAGCTTTGATAACATTTTGTCATCATGCCAGCTTTCAAGACCATGTTTAAACAAGCCGTGGGTATAAAAGTCCATTGGAGCTGTATCTAATTGACAGATATGTGGTAAATTGAGATTGTTGTGGTTCCAGTGTCACTGGCCATCTTTCTCAATGAAAATAGCTGTGAATTTTGAGGTGTGGCTGGAAGCTTGTGGTCTTCTAAGTGTCGACTTCTTATCCTTGATTATTACATTGTTAACAGTACCAAGATATATGCTCAGTTTTTTCACAATAGCTTCTTAGATTGAAAGGTTATCTTTTTGTAACCACAACACTCATTTTGCACATGAGAGTGCTGCTACATATTGACTTAGAATGAGGTTTTTAGAGACTGTTTCTGTCATAACTTTGTACTGTCCAGTCATAAGTTTATCTTTGGTTGAATAATACTCTAAATGGTCAAAAAGTAATCATGAATCGTAAATAAGTACTAAAGGTATGGCACCGGGGTTCGCAACTATGGTAACACACTACTGCATTAGCACATGCAACTATATTTTATAAAATGAAATTAACCCTCCATAAATTTATTCCCTTGTGAAAGGTACCCAAAATGTTTGAGTGGTTTTCACAAGTTCATATTCATACTTAAGTATGAATTAAATATATTTTTTGCTTTCAATGAATAGATGGATGTTTGTGCTTTAAATCATGTTCTAGAGATACATGATCTCTGTCTTTCTTCAAAATAGCTACTAATGGGTTATGATGTTTCCCACAGAATGTCTCGAACTGGCAAATAAGCTTATTATAAATTGTAATGTGCCTATACCTCGTGTGAGTTGCCTTGGAGATATTCATCCCGCACTGTTTACAGAACTCTTCCTCCGGATTTTCAACATAACGATTCCAGGTATTAATAAGTAATGTTTAGAAATGCGTGTAAAGTTGTTATACATTTGTTTCTCTTGCCTTACTTAGAGTTTAGACTAGTTTTGTTTAATTTGATTGCCTAGATAAACTACAGCAGCCACCTAGTTTCTTTTATTTGAAATGGACATACATGTACAAATTAAAATTAAGTTTATCATATCCTAAATCAATGGATATAAATGTACATCATAGAAAAAATCACTGGTATTATAATAAAAAGTAATTTCTAATTATTTAAATGCCTTTCATTATTGAGCCAAATATAAAGCCTTACTCAACCCTCTGACAGTTTTAGTGGCTTTTGTTTCGTTGTTTGTGATGATTTTCTAATTAAAGTTTGTTTTTTTCATTGCTTGCGATGATCTTGTAATTAAAGTTTACCTTCCTGGACATTCTCACAATTTAACAACATGCTGATTAGTGTTTATTTTAACTCATAAGGTGAGACATAAATTAATTAACTTCTGAAAGAAGGCAAATATGGAAAGTTTAATCATTCATATGTATGAAAAGTTCTGTGAATTCCTACAGTACTAGCACTAATACATGTATGTTATCATTAAGGTTAGTGATACAAAAATCTCTTCTTGACTTCAGGCACTTTTTTTTTTGTAGTTTACCTAACGTTTTATGAATTGTTGGCATTTTTATTAACTTTAAATATTTATTCATGCTTAAGGTTAATAATTAATTTTTTAACTCCTTTTTTTTTTTCCTGTGTCTCTGAGAAACTTCAAACGTAGTCAGAAGTTGAAACATTTCAGTATTATACTGAAAAATTTTGAAATTGTTTAATTTGATGTTAGTCCTGTACATTGAAAAGTAATTAGGATATGATTTGATTCCATTCTGGCCCATTCTTGGTTAACTTTGTAATGGTGTAAACTACCCTAGTAAAGAAAACTAATTATTAACATACATTTTTATGTGAAAGGCTAGAAAGCTCACTTGCCAATATATGGATTGTTATGTATAATGTTAAAATATCCAGTCATCTATGTTTATCATGTTTTTAAGCATGAACAAAATTAGATATATTAACTTATAGGTAACTTGAACATGTTTTAAGTTCACTGTACTTCTAACAAGATGTAGATTTAATTGCCTAGAGTAAACTGTGGGTTAACTAGGTAGTTTAAAGGAAGCTAGTGGAATGGAAATGCAGGACAAACCTTATAGTTTTAGTTGCTAAACTATGTAGTTTAGGCTGTTACATTTCAACAAACCTTGTCCCTCAATGGCTCAGTGGTAAACCTGAGAGCTTATAATGCTAAAAATCAGGGTTCAATACTAGCAATGGGCATGACACTGATAGCTTGCTGAATAGCAAAATTAACAAGCCTTATTACGAAACTTACAAATACCATATACATGCTTCTGTGTACTTGTTTGCTGAAGAGACCAAAAGCATATAAATGGTGTATTTAAAATAATTAAAAATACAAATAAGAAATACTCTCATCTGTTTTCACTATCAAAGTGATTAATGATTATTAGTCAATAGTCATTACTTTAAGATTTCTGTAAATCAACTTTGAAACTTTTCTCAGAGTTAAAAATGAACCCTGATACAACAGAAGAGGAAGTCCACAATGTTCAAGCTATTATTGATACTTTGTCTCTGGATATTTTGAATATCTCTTTGTCTCATATTGTTGGAGAAGACATTGTTGCTAGAGATGTTTATTCTGTGAAGAACTTCTTAGAGGTGCTAGATAGTTGCTTGTTATTCCTCAAGACTGATTCAACAAATGAAAACAAAACAGGTGAGTTACTGATATCTGGGTATTCTCAATATAACAATGTTTTTGGTCATAAAGAGTACACACAGTTGCTTTTAAAATTCACTATCTGAAGTTATTTAAAGCAAAGATACTCATTATATTTGGTGTGGGTAAAAGGCACTTCTAGTAACATTTGTGCAAGTTCCTCCGAATTGAGTGTGTGTGTGAAAGGCTCGATTTTAAGGAAATTTACAGGTTATTCAGAAGGCTGTATTGGTTGTCCGAAAAAAAAAATTCATAGCCCCCCCCCCAAAAAAAAGATCCAATTACAACAATATTGATGTACAAAGACCCTAAAAAAGACCCAATTACTAGAATTTTGATATTTTTATATCTTATTTATTTCCAAAAAGTTCAATTAATGTTCAGTTGGCAGTTTTGCATCATTATTCAACTAATTTTTGACACCTTTTGGAGGTCCTCATGAGACACAATTCTGAAATTACGATCCATGCATTGCCTCCTGGGGATCCTCATGAGACATGAATCTGAAATTACAATCCATACATTGCCTCCTGGGGATCCTCATGAGACATGAATCTGAAATCACAATCCATACATTGCCTCCTGGGGATCCTCATGAGACATGAATCTGAAATTACAATCCATACATTACCTCCTGGGGAGTCTTATGAGTTATGAAACTAGAATTACTATCTTTACCGTGCCTCTAATGGATATTGTTTTACCTTGTGATATGTGGTATGAATGTGGTTTTTTATTCTAGGGATGAGACGTGTTTCATTGTTTAAAAAGAACGAAATTGTAAAGAAAACGGAAACCAATAATAGTCTCAAGCAAAAATAAAAGTTTAAGAAGGTGGTGCTCTTAAAAGCTTACTGTGAATGATGGATAGCTGTTATCTTTGTGTGTGAGATATTGGCACATATCAATCTTAAAGCAAGCACTGATAGCACTTTTGTGAACTTCCCGCCTTTAAGTTATATGTATATGTAGAATCTTGGAAGAGCAAAAATAATGAAAAATTCAAATCCAGTCACATTGTATCTTTAACGAAACAAATCATGTGGTAAAAAACTTTTACTGACTGTAATTTCACTTCTGTTAGTAATTTTTGTTGTTATTATTGACAGCTATTTTTTTTTATTTCATGTACATTTGTAGTTACTTAACTTTGAAATATTTAGTAAAGTTTTCTTTTTGTGAAAATTTAGCCACGCAATGTACAATGATAGCTTCTGAAGATGCCAAAGAAGACATCATAAGCCAGCCTTCTGAGTAAGTTTTAATGTCATTAGGTTTATATCATAAGCCAACTACCACTAAGTTAATAGCATAAACTCCTCTGAGCAAGCTTTTGATGTCACTAAGTTAACACCATAAACCCTCATAAGTTTTTAATGTCACTAAGTTAATAACGTAAACCCTCATAAGTTTTTAATGTCACTAAGTTAATACCGTAAACCCTCATAAGTTTTTAATGTCACTAAGTTAATACCGTAAACCCTCATAAGTTTTTAATGTCACTAAGTTAATACCGTAAACCCTCATAAGGTTTTAATGTCACTATGTTAACACCGTAAACCCTCATAAGTTTTTAATGTCACTAAGTTAACACCATAAACCCTCATAAGTTTTTAATGTCACTAAGTTAATACTGTAAACCCTCATAAGTTTTTAATGTCACTAAGTTAATACCGTAAACCCTCATAAGTTTTTAATGTCACTAAGTTAACACCCTAAACCCTCATAAGGTTTTAATGTCACTAAGTTAACACCAAAAAACCTCCTAAGTGATTTTTTTGGAGCAACTTGGTTTTTTACCAGCTACCTACCACTCTGTATTGTTATTGTTAATTCTACACCGTTCTGTTAACAAGTGAACCAAAAACAATTTAGCTGTTTTTTCCACAAACACCATATTGAAAGTTCTTGCAGGGAAGTTCATCAGGAAAATTGTCACTCAGATGTTTGTTCACATGCAAAGTGTTACACAAACACTTTTTCTTACCTTGTTTACCCATTTATTAATCCGTAAGACCATTACTGAAGCATAATTCTTAGAACTCCTTGAACATTTTTAGGGGCTAAGAAGAATTGTTCAAGTGCATATGAAAACGTTTTTTTCTTTTGTTTTTTGACCTAGAAATAAATGAGGGGTATAATGTTTTACTCAGCATTCCAAATCTTCACTAGGTTTCACTGAGAGATTTAGAATTTTATTGTTTGTTTTTTTTTCTCTTTAATCAGAAATACAGAAATCAGTTAAACAGAAGAGAAAATGAAGACTTTCTTGTAATTCCTGATTTTTTGCAGCTATATAATGTGTAAAAGGGTTGCATTTTAACTTTGGGAGTGCAGAAGCAGTATAGCGTTTCACTAACTTCAACACATGATGTCCATGACAACTCATCTCTCCAGGCTAAATCTGATGCATTAATAGTGGCTATCATTCATTATAAAATATTCATTGGTATTGTTTAAAAGAAAGAAACAAGTCATAAAAAAACTTTTGAAAAAAATAAAGATCATGTAGAGATGGCAATGCCAAAAAATGCAGAAACAAGGTAAGAATGAATACACAAAGCGATACAAAAATCCCTTCATAAGTAGCCACTGAGTCAATGTTACAAGCTTATGAGAATTAGCCATTTTTATATTATTACTAATTTAAAAGCCCATCAAAATTTACAGGAAATCATTGTTGAATGATTAATGAAAATTATAGAATTTAACTAAAATGAATTTGTCTGAATCTCCAAAATGCATCTACTGTTAACTTATTTCATCAGTCTCAAGATAATTCTTTATCACCACATTTTAAGTAAAAATTCGATCATCATTCATCACTCTTCCTTGATTCTCTCTACCAATCATAAATATTTCAAAATTATTTTTATCTCTTGTTCTCATCCCAACCACATTCAATTGTCCATGTCCAAACATTGGTTCCAGCAAAAATACTCCAACTTGATTGAAGGTTTGTCCCTGAGGCTTATGAATAGTTATCACTGTCAGGAAACTTACTTTTTAGTAGAAATATGTAGTAATGTAAGTTAAATGGGTGTGTTGGGCTGAGGATTCTTTTACAGTGGGTGTCTGTGACTTGTTGGTGATAAATTCAACGATTGTCAAAAGTCAACTTAGGCCATTTCAATTGCTTTAGAATTCAGTTGACAAGCCAAACTATTTTTCTCTATTTTTATCTTAAACACTATCAGTGTGTAATTCACTTATGCTGCCTCATGAATTACTGCAGTTGTATCCTGAACTCCTGATACTCATCTACTTTTTGTCAAAATTCACACAGGCAGGTTCAATTGCTTTAGAACACCCTTTGACAAGACAACTTATTCTCCTAAAAATGTCAGAAAACTGTTAATCTTATCCTAACATATCAACCATTAGGCTATTCACTCCTACAACAGTTAACTATAGGTTTTCTAACCTTTCTCTGACGAAAAATCTTTCACTTGGCTTTACTTTTGGCTCTCTGGTCTCTCGTTTGGTCTCTACTTTTTTATATCTCTCACTGAGGCATTCTAGAAATCTCTATAGTCTCGACATCAATAACTTAGAAACACAACTTCCAACAATTGTCTGCTTTTAACTCTTTATTTATAAAAAAACAAACAAAAAACTTAGCAATCATGAAATATTAACTCACAAAATAAATTAATACTACCTGCACTAAATAGTCTTTTATATCTTACAATCACAAATGCCATTATCACTGGAAATTGTCTTTTTTTAAATACGAATGGCAAACTTGTTTCACTGGGTGCTAACTTACTATCTTCTGGGGATTATCTTTTCTGCTCCTCTTCACCTTTCATTCCATGTAGTGTGTGCAGAAAATACCTATTGATATGGGATTTCTGTATACAGATATTTTCTTGTTCATTCATCTGTTCTATTTAGTTGAAACCATGCAGTCAAATGAGTATTTCTGTTTTCAGCTCTTCGCAATCTTTGTCCACTTATGTAGGAATTTTGTATGGTTTTGTGTATTCATCCCTACCTTGTTTCTGTACTTTTTGGCATCGCCATCCCTAAATCATCCTTATTTTTGTTTTAAATTTTTATATATATGTATCCTTGTGTTTATGTCAACCCTAATGTTTTAATTGTGTAGGAACACTAAAGTAGTGTATAGTTTATTTTAAGTAGAGTTATTGAAGCATATAGTTTGTGATGGTTTATAGATGCTTTGCATTGGAAAACCATTTCTACATCTTGTTTGTAGAGTTCACATAACTTACACTATAATTAATTTTGTTGTAGAACTGGTTATGAAGCTGGGGACAGTGACAGCTTAGACACAGAAGAAGCCATTGCCCTTGGAGATGACCAGTATCTAAAAACTGTACGTCCCATCAGACAAGGTAAACACTTTCTGATCTTCATGTTCACTTTGTGTTTATGTATTAGAACTAACTGATGTAGTTTTAATGTTATGTACAACATAATTTACTTGTTTAGAACATGTTACTTCATGTTACATTAATATATATAGAGATAGTATGTGTTGAAGAAATGACATAAAATTAACTGATACATCATTTGCTATTGATAATGTTACAAAGACATTAGTCTGTCGTTTAAAATGACTACCTTGCATACTGATTGACTGTTATGAATTCTGTTCACAAAGGTTGTGCCTAACGTCAACATGAAAAATTTGCAAAATAAAAGTGGCCCCAGTGTCTATCTGACAGGAAGATTTCTTATCATGCATCTGTTATTTTGTGATATTGTTTTGTCAAAAAATTTTATATTACTACTGTTGTTGAAAGTGAACTGTGTTTGCTTAAAATGAAAAACTTCTCAACCAATAAAATGACAACCGTAATAAAAGTATCAAGTAATTGCAAGTAATGTCAAACAGTAGTAGAAGAAGCTTCACAAAATTTGGTGTAAAACACAAGGGTTACCAGTTGCTGATTTTTGGTGGTTTATAAATACTTGTAATTCAACTTTAGATGGTCACAGGATGATGTTTATGATATATATGTGATATGTTATTAATTTAACTGAAAACTCAGAATAATATTGTTTTATAACTATGCATAAACATCTGTCTTACAGTCTTTCATAATTAACAGAAAATTAGTCATATAGAACATAGAATAAGCACAGAAATAAGTGTGTCCAATTAAGAGTCTGTCCCAGATAAATATAGGATTGACATCTGAGGTAATATGGTAATGTTATAACTGGCACACAGATAATGAAATAGTGGACAAAAATGCTGGTAATGAACATGAAACATCTACATGTAAAGAGCATGGAGTGATCATGAAGAAGGACTTAGCTTATGCAGTAGAAAACATTTGTCCCCTGTGTGATTATGTGCAGAAGAATCAGTTAGCTGAAAAAAGACAAGAGAAAAGTGGTCCACCGGAGCTTGGTGCAGGGGACAAAGATAACATAACTGGCAGTAGCAGACCTGATGACAAAGATGTTTGTCAGACAATACCAAAGGTCCTGTGCAGTGAGAGCAATAGTAGTAGTATCGGTAAACCACATTTAAAACAGGTAAGGATTGTATTTCCTGGTACTGTATGCTAGATAGAAATACGTTAGTTTTAAGACATTTTTAATTTACTTCTTTATGTCGAATAGGATTTATTGTACTTGACACCAATGATCATTGATTGTGTGCAGCAACTCATTTTGACCAAATTGACTACTGATATATTTTTTTAAACTTAGCATGTAGGTGTATGTTGTGCATACATTGACTTTGAACGGATTGCATCCAACTTAATTATTTGAAGTGTTGTACATCATTGCATATAGTAAATGGGAGACTTGGATCAAACTTTTAAATGAAACAAATAGTAGAAATTAGGAGGCTTTTTTTTATAAATAAATAGTAATAAAATGATAGACATTTTAAAATTAATTTAAAGAAAACCTATAAAAATAATACCAAATTTAGTCAGTAGCATTAACATCTATGGAAAATTTATTACATTGTTATCATCCAATTTTAATGAATATTTTGACTGTATGATTTGAAATAAAAGGTTCTTTTATATTCTGGATATCTTCTGAGGTGTCACTATATTGCTAAGTGTTTGCACACTTAATATTTGATTGTCATTTAAGGACAGATTTACTATGAAATTTGTTTATTTCCAGAAAGATAGTTCATCATTTACTCCTGCATCACCCTTAGAACCACCAGTGTTTTCTCCTGAGCAGGTTTTAGATCCAGATTTTGCAAATATAGGAATTCGTAGCGAAGGGGGTGAAAAAAAGGTAGCTCTAAAGAGTAAAGGAAAAAAATCAAGCCCCAAGTTTTCATCGCACTATACTGGAACATTCACACATCACATGTACCATCATTTCAAAGATTCTCTACCCAAGTCAGCTACATGGCCACAGTCAGCAAACTCGGGTACCATTGTTTCTTTGTTATACTTAACCTGTCACAAATTTTGTGCACCTTTAGGTTTTGAGTGCCCGTCTACATGTCAAATTTCAAAATTTGAATAAAAAATAATTATTTTAACTGTATTTCTACAGTTTTTTACTATGAAATATTAATATTTGATATTTTATCATGATGTAATATATATATATATATATATATATACACTTTATTCCACAAAGAAAAATGAAGAAAAAATTTCATTGGAGCATAATTTTTTGTTTATTGTGCCTATCTTTTCAAGATTTCCTATATTTGGTCATTATAATGATTACCTTTTTTAAAACTTTTCATGGTGCAACAAGTTATATAATTATTATGTTTATTCCATTTATTCTGTTTAATTCCTTACAACTGCAGAAATTCTTTTGGCAACTGAATTGGGCCATGACTACGATAGACTTGACATGTTGGGCAAATATTCTTTGTTTTAAACACTAGATATAGAAAGAGGATTAAGTATATTATATTAACATTATTTTGAATATGGAAATCATACTCGCATAACAAATACAGTTAGAATGAAGTCAGTGGAATGTCATGTATGAGGACTACATTTTGACATTGTCCTGGTATTTCATAAATAGTGTGATGCCATTTAAAATTTATTGCTTACAGAAAGGTATGTAACAGCCCTTTCTGGTACAAAATTTTTATACACTTAAGTCATAAAGGTGTGTTCAGATTGGGGATTTAGAATTTTCAAGAAGGGGAGATATCAAATGTACTTAATGGCATTGGATCAAGTTGGGGCACCAGAATCATTGAAAAAAAGACCTACAACAGTTGTACCCCAGCTGTGGTAAGAAAAATACAGATGAGGGTTAATGAACACAAAGGTCAATGGCAAAAGCTGTCCACATGTCACAGGCAACAGTACACTACCTAATCAAGAAGGATCTCCACCTGGAAATGAGGCCAACAGGGTATGGGTTCATCAAGATAAGGCTTCCAGTTATACCTCAAGCAGCTGAGATTGAAATGGATAATCATTGTTGGGAAGAATAATTAATCTAAACTCATGACTGAAATGTATGTTAAAATTTTCAGTCTTTCATGTTTATTTCTTTCCTACACATTATGGGACTATGGGAATCTGTTGCTTCCTGTAATAAGCATGGGCATTGACTAATGTGAAGGAGGTACAACATGAGAGATATCTAGATCTTCAGAATTTTAATGTTAACTTTCTTCTGTATGTAGGTACAAGAATATGTGATCATTGTTAAAAATGTATTGGGTATACATTTAACCAAGATGGTATTTAACTTCATTGTATTAAATAGTAAAAATAGTGTTTGTGTGGTTATCATGTTACTGATTATTTCACAAATTTAAAAAAAAACATTATCTATATAATTCTTTTAGCAACAAAAATTATTACCTCATTAAATGATATGAGAATAAAATTTAACTTTGGAATTTAAAATAACTTTTTTTATATTAATAGAACATTCAAACATTTTTTGTACACATCAGTTTTTATAATTAAAGACTGATTTTCTGAATGCTAATTCTTTGGATTTAAGAAAAAGGAACTGACATTGAGAAACCTATTGACAGCAACATGTATAAAAGAAAGATTCAGTCCCAACCAAAGAAAAGCTTAAGTCTACAGGATCTCAGAAAAGGACAGGTAATTTTTATAGTTCTGACACTTTTCAGGAGAAGACAGTTACCTAGCTTGTGTGGTCATGCTTCATTACAGGATAGTAGAGACTATGTAATTGTATTTAATTTTAAGATAAGGCTAGTACTGGAACATCTTGTTACTTGTAGTGTATGGTGGTAGTTTTTGATGTCAGGATAAGGAGAAGCATTATATTGTGATGATGCTTTCCAGAAGAAAGACATTATGTGGTGATGCAGTATACTTTTCTCAGAGTACAAGAAAGTTTATATATTGTGGTAAATTATTCAAAAATTAACATAGGATATGTATAGTTCATGTGTGTTATGCGAATACTACATATTTCACTCTTTTTATGGTACATATTTTATATTTCTAAATTCAAAATTTGTCTAAACCTCTAAATCAGAGCTGCTAAATCCAGTTGAGGTTGTGTGTCCATCCCATCCTTGATGTTATTTTCCTCAGCAGGATTCATTCATGGAAGATATCAGCTGTTTTATGGGGTAGTTATGTTAAACTGAGATACTTCTGTTCCATGGAATAGTTGTGTTATATTCTGCTTTACTGTGTGTGTTAAACTGTTCTATTATTACCACATGGAACAGAGATACTTCTGTTTCATGGAATAGTTGTGTTATATTCTGCTTTACTGTGTGTGTATGTTAAACTGTTCTATTATTACCACATGGAACAGAGATACTTCTGTTCCATGGAATAGTTGTGTTATATTCTGCTTTACTGTGTGTGTATGTTAAACTGTTCTATTATTACCACATGGAACAGAGATACTTCTGTTCCATGGAATAGTTGTGTTATATTCTGCTTTACTTCAGCAAGAAAAAGAAATATAAGTGAAATAATGACCAGTTTTATGTTTGAAATAAAATAAAATAAAAATGCTGTAATTTATATTAAAAAATTCTAACATGAAAACTGATAAATTAGGGTTAACTTTTTTAAAATTGAACTAGATATTCATACAGTGTCTTGCAAAAGTATTCACCCCTACAAGTAATGTCACATTTTGATGAAATGCAAAACATGTAAAAAAATGTTTTTTAAGGAACTTGTTTTTATTCAAAACTCTAATGGTCAAACTTAACACTGTTATATGTGAAGGAGGTTAAATGTCAGCAAAACCAGCAAAGAAAATATATAAATCAAACTTTGTGGATTGCATAAGTATTCAGCCCTCTTAACTCGGTACTTGGTGGAAGCACCTTTGGCAGCAATTACTGCTGTGACTCTTTTTAGATAGGTCTCCACCAGCTTTGCACAATAGGATGGTGTAATTTTTGCCCATTTTTCCTGGCAAAATTGCTCCAATTCTGATAAGTTCATTGGGGATCATTGATGGACTGTAATCTTCAAGTGTTGCCATAAATTTTCCATTGGATTCAAATCAGGATTTTGACTGGGCCATTCCAGGACATCCACTTTCTTCTTTTGAAACCACTCAAGTGTGGCTTTGGGTCATTATCCTGCTGAAATGTGAATTTTTGACCCAGTTTTTAATTCTTGGCTGACTCAAACAGGTTTTTCTCTAGGATTTGCCTGTAATTTGCACTATCCTTCTTCCCCTCAATCCTGACCAACTTCACAGTCCCTGCTGATGAGAGGCATCCCCATAACATGATGCTGCCACCACCATGTTTAACAGTTGGGATGGTGTTGACTGGGAGATGTGCTGTGTTGGGCTT